CTGCAGTCCATCCCGAAATGTGCTCCTGCTCTCGGGCCACGCTGTTTCTCTAAGTGAAGAGTGGGGTTCGAAGTGAGAGCTGTCTATAAAAGCCGTTTTATTTTTATGGCTCAGTAAATGTTTATTGGAGGGAGCGAGTCCCCTCTTCCCCCGTGACATCTCTTGGCAGATCCGCCCTCCCTTGCGGGCAGGAGCTGGGGAAGGGGTAGAGACACCGGGGTGCAGGACTCTGGCTTGGGCTGACCTACTAGCCAAGCCTCTGGGACAAGGAGGCTTTCAGAGACCCGCTCTAGCAAGAGCGGTCACTTCAGCTGAGGGTGAGGGGCATAGACTGAAGCCACACGGAAGAAAAGCTGAAGAAAATCTCAAAAGGCAGATGAGGATGAGAAGCCCGGCGAGCCGAGGAGAGAAGGATCGCTCTCAGCCACAAACAAACTGAAGAAGGGCCCTCTTCCTCCTCTCCCAACAGAGCATAAACTAGTGGGAAAGGGGCCTCTGATTGTTTAAATAAACAAGCTTTTTAAAAAAAAAAAAAATGTGTGAAGTGTGGTGTTGGGGACTGGCTTTGGTTTAAAATCCTGAAGGGAGCTACAGAGAAACAGATTCAAATCCTGAGGCCCCTAAATCTGTCCATGACCTAACCCAAGTAGAAGACTTCCCCTCCTTCACTGGCCCCTAACACGGCCACCGAGGATTTATCGAATGGGCCAGAAGGACAGCACTGTGATAAAAAAAAAAAAAAATGGAAAAGGCAGAAACTGTGCCCAAGAGGGAACAAGGGCCAAAAACGGACTCCACTGGTGAGCACAGGAAAGGAGGCAGGTCACCTGGGCACCACGGCTGTGACTGAGGGTCACGTCTGGAGAGGCATCCTGAAAATACCAGACAGCATGGAGGGAAGGGCCGCGATTTTTAAAAACAGCCAACAGGTGAGATGAGCAACCAGATTCGAAATACTAAGAATACTTTAGCATTACTAAAAACACTAAGGTGCTGGAGAGATTGCTCAGTGGTTATGAGCACCGGCTTCTCTTGCCAGAGGGACGACCCAGGTTAGGACCCCAAATCCACGTGGGGGTTCACAAGTATCTATAGCTCCAGTTCCACGGGGGAGACCGACTGGAGATGTGGCTCCGTGGGAGAATGCTTGCCAGGCACTGAGGAAGCCCTATATTCAACCCCCAAAGTTACCAAAAAAGAAAAAAAAAGAGGCCGGAATTTCAAATTAACGCAAACACTACAGTGGATCAAGCCAATGCTGAAATCCGCAGAGTAATCCTTGAGAGAGGCACAAGGAGCCAAGAATGGAAAGTATCCCACTGTGGTGTTATTCCAAAGCCTGATTTTTTTACATGTCAGAGGAAGACAATTTTGAGTTGCATTAACTGCAGCGAGGAAGAGCTCGGGCAGTTCTAACAAAGGGTGGACGTGTGGGGTGTTTACCTCCTACAGAACCTGAGCACTGTGTTTCAGAGTTGCCCGTTTGCTGGCTGTGGCACAGGCAGACATCTAATCTAAGAAGCTGGAAGTCCTGGCCATAGAAAGGACCTACACTGCGTGATCCAAACAGTGTGTTCCAACGTCAGGATTCTAGGGAGTTAACTGGAAGAGGAGAATCCAGGCCTCTAAGGAAACGGCAGGCCCAGAGCCACATTCTTTCACTGGGAGGGTAAAAAAGGACCCGAAGATGGACAGGACTACTGGGAGCCGGGGAGACTTCGGCCCAGCTGTTAGGGCCACAGCCACTCACCCCTCCTGCCCTGCGCCCAAACCCACAACCAGAAGGGCAGAAGTTTGCTCTCAGGACATTCCATCCCTCGGATTACTTGATGACGTCTCCGTCTCCTCCCCCTCCGCCAAGCAGGGTACAATTTTCTAAAAGCAAAGGGAAACCCTTCCCAAGAAAATAAACAGCTGGGAACAACCAACAGGCCCGTTCTGTCACCTATTCAGATTATGTAATGACAGCCCAGTCAAACTTTCATACCAGCCACACAAAGCAGGGCCTTCAAGCTCACACGAGCCAGGGTACCGCCCTAAAAAGGCAGTTGTCATTGTCCAAGAGGAACAACATGCATCTCTGCTCGCTCAGAGCAGTCGTTGAAGTCTAGGGGGGTGGGGGGTGTATACAAGCCCTGTGCAGGACACCCCACAATAACAGCAACCGTTAGAAGAAGAATAAATAGCTTGAGCAAAGTTTCACGCTACCCCACACAGAAAGACAACACTGAAATGTTTTTCCAGCCTCTGTTGAGGAGTTTTTCGGTGAACCTGTCCTTTGTTTCTGTTTTACTGGATGTAAAACGGGGCAGTCCGTGGTAACCGGCATCATTTAGCGGTCACCCAGTCAAGGGGCAGACTCCTCCCCTCTTATCCCTTAACGTGATGAGCGCCCCTTTCAGGGGTGTTCAAGGAAACAGTCACTGATAAGATAGACTGGAGGACTGGCAAGATGTCTCACTGCCCGCAAGCCTGATGGACCCGAGTTCAATCCCTGGACCCACACAGTGAAAGGTGAGAATGGACTCCTCCAAGCTGTCCTGTATCTCTCACATATACAACCTGGCATGTGTATACACACACGCACGCACGCACGCACGCACGCACGCACGCACGCACGCGCATGCACATAGGCAAATAATCAGTGCAACACTGATTAAGCTACCTGCCGTATTCTAGTTGACACAACAGTAAAAAGGCTGAGGGTTGCTATACAGCCAGCTCTAACTGGTTAACTGGACGGGTGTAGGACCAGTCACCTCCGCCTCCCGTAAGTACTGTACTTTGCTCTTTCAGTCCTTATGAAGATCAAATGCGATAACAAGGGTCAAGACGCTGGCACACAAAGGTACTCAATAAATAAATATCAGAAACTGTAAAGCAGAAACACGGTCCCCCGATGCTTATCAACTTCCTCGGAATCAGGAGGATTGGAAAGATAACGCAATCAGTTGTTTCACAGCCCAATGCAGGGAAGTCTGGGCTGTCCCCAACTGCAGGTCACTTGCGGCAATAATGTGGAACTTATCATAACCCCACAGGCACTCATGTCCCAGGATGGCCTCCTCACCCCCAGCAGCTGAGATGTGGTGGGAGACCTCTGAAGGAATCACACAAAGCCCTTTGCTACTGATCATGTCTGAGATCTACCAGGAGTCAAACATTCTACCAGAGAAACATCCATGTGTGAGAGGGAGTCGTGAAGAAGAAAAACACAGCATCTAAATACCCCAATGAGGATATGGCTCCACCATTGACCGGACTCAGTAAAACTAACTCTTCATTAAATATTAGGCTACAGAGACTCTTCCTAAGCCACACCCGGTAATCCTTCGTGTTTGGATAGGCTTAATAATCTCTTCCAGGTGTTAAAAACTGTTTGGGAATTTCAAAAACTGCAAGATAATTTGAGAAGCAAGCTCTATTATTCTGCACTCTATAATTTTCTATTCACTCAGAGTATACACATGGTACACCAGGTTCACGTTTCCCCTGGAACACCGTAGTCTACGAATCGGCAGGGAACGAGTAAAGAGGGCCAGAAGAATCTATGTCTAGACTCCAGGAAAGATAACACGTTTGCAGCCGTCGTGAAACTGTGGGACCAAAGAAAGTGTTCATAAGACGTGTCGCTTTTATTTAGTATTGCGTCTGCTCAACTTGTTAATGATCAGACCATGACATAATTTCGATCGTTTTGAAAACACGAAAGGCATGGGGATTATGCCTGTCCAAGTTGCACAGGACCAGGCTGTCTGACCATTCCTACTCTGTAAACCATGCTTTCTAAAACATGCAGGGCAGGTGCAGCCCTTATTTGGAGGAGAGCGAGTTAATGTTCTACCCTGTGCTGATTGCTTAGTTTATTTCACTTGATATAGGTTTTTATGACAACCTTTTATTACCATGGAAATGTACATCTACAATTCAAAGTAATAAATGCAACTTGTAAAAGTCAGAGGGTTGTTTTTTTTTAATTATTTAATACATTCTAATCAAATAGTAACAGCAGTAAATAAACACTTTGAAAAACAGGCAAGTACCCCCTATTATCTGGAAGAAAAGTAAGTCAGTATTCTACATGGTAGAAGGGAGAGAGCTGTTGATGTCCGTGGTCAGGCAATTCAAGGACAACTTGGAAACTTCTAAAGCCATTTCCAAAATCCAATGGCAATAGGCTAGGACTCACAGCTACTTCAAGGGGTAAAATGTCTCTATCTACACTGGGTTTTATTATCGAGGATTGAGTTGCACCTGTATAGCATGACATTCTTGTCTTTAGCCTTAAAAGGAAAAGAGAGAAGTCTCTTCTGTTTGCACCAGTTTGAAATGTTTCTGTAAGTAAGGCTGCCTTGAAATGGATTACTACAGTACTCATTCACGGGAGAGTTCATACGTGTAGTAAAAAGACAAATACAGGATCTCATGGTGACTAATTTTTGGTCGATTTGGTTAATTGCATAAAAGGAGGGGCAAATGCAAGCATGATTGGTTTAACAAAACTCCTACTAGATACATCAGTATGTAAAACATAACATGTTCTAACACAGACTGGTCACCAGGCACCTACAAGGGCAGCTAAGCCTGGGCCAGCCAGGGTCTTTTCCTACACACAACTGTCTCTCCTATGGAGCTTGGACTTTTGACCCAGTGCATAGGAACCCGAAAAAAAGGCAGGTCATTCTGATAGAGATATTCCCTCGCCTTTACGTGGGACGTTTTGTTTTTAATTTTAAAGGGCCATTTGATCTTGCCCAGCCATAGGAAAAGGAGGCATCACTCAGTTGAAACTACCTAGGGGAATTTAAAAATACCTAGCTACACCTTCACACCTTTAAATTAGATGGAGCTCAACTGTCCTTAAGAAAGAATTCTGCACATTTATCCAGAGAAGGGCCTCCAGGTAGTCTTACGTAGCTGCATTCGGAGATAGTCTATATGAGGCATGTGTTTTGTTTTTTTTTTTTTTTTTAAAAAAAAAAAAAGAGAAATACTTATACCTGGAATTTATATTCTTCCAAGTAATCTTTTAGTCTTGTTGGTAAAGGCAGTCCCCAGATGGCACCGGTACATTTGTTAATGGTGAGTCGGCAGAAATGCTGTAGAGATGGGGCTGACGTGTACAGAGGTTTGGTCAGGTACAAGTGAACAGTCCCGTTCCGAGGGGCCTCCGGGCCGGTCCGTTTATCCTTGCACATCTGGACATAGTAGTCAATCAGATGAACCACACTGTCAAACTGCTTAAGCTTGGACTTGACACAGATGATAGAATCCAACCGGAACTTCCCATCTTGGTACTCAATCCGGAGGTTGGTCGGTCCAGCGGACGTCTTAACGGATATGGTTAGTAGGTAGTCTGAGTGTGAACTGTCTCTGATCAAGAACGTCCCTTCAGGCGCCTCCTTGAGCTTCTCTTTGGCTTCATTAACAGTCATGCTCCCCCAGTACCAGCCTGGGGTTTCCATTCAAAAAGAAAAAGAAGAGAAAGTGAAACAGCTATTGTAATACCGTCTGTACTTGGTAGCAATTGTTCTAGCTGTTTGGTTTTGTTTGAGACACAGGGCCTCGGGTAGCATATAGGCTGGCCTCAATTTTACTTGGTAGCCAAGGATAACCTTGAACTTCTGATGCTTCTGAATTCACTTCCCAAGTCCTGGGATGTACGGGCCTGCACCACCGCGCTCAGCTAATTGTTCTTGTTATGCCTATTTTTTTAAAAAATGCCCACAGAACCAGGGAGGCTACATAGCAGGGGGGACCCTAGGATGACTGTGGCTGATAGTAAGTTTTGGTTTTACTCAGTTACTGGGCAAGCCTCAATGAAACATTTCACTATTAGGATAAGAATTTGTACTGTATCACGCTGGTAATAGAAAAAATAAATTTAAAAAAATGCCCATGAGTGAAAGTTCCCAGGGACTGTCATGAATCTTTTGGTAAGTATTGAATAAAAACTGAAGTCCATTCTAGGCACAACTGTCAGCCAATTTCTCTCTTTTCCAATGATTTTTCTGTAGCTCTTCTTTAAACTATGTTTAGATCGTCTTCTAATGAGTCCAAAGAAATTTTGCAATATGATAGTCAGTCATACCGGCTGAGAAAAAAAAAATGATCCTTTCAGTATAGCTTAACTGAGACAAACACCTAAGTAAATTAGAAATAAATTAGAAGTTAGGGAGAAAAGTGGAAAACTCATCTCCAGTATTTCCAATAAAAACAGAAGCAACTCTCTTGAGTGGTTGGTAGCCCCCAGACCTGCCCCCAAAGAACTTGTAATGTTTAGCCCTAGAAAGCGCTGCTGTTGACTGCTTTGATTAAAACTAGTTACGGTCTGGGGAGAGAGAGGGCGCTGATATCTGGTACTTAAAGTCTACAGTTCTCACTATATATTCTTCTGGACTCTGTCCTGGTTCAAATCGTACTACAACCCCTTTTCTCTGAAATCTCTATTTGATTGTCTTGGTCATCTCCAGAATCTCCCTTACAAAAGTGACTCAAGACACTTCACTTAGTAAGTTTGAACAATGTGCCCTCCGTTTCGGCGGACACCCCCCCCCACACACACACACACACACACGCCGCCAATAAATAATATTATATCCGGGAATATACATATATAGGCCCGGGAAAGTTTCTGGAGGACAGAAAGACGGGGGCAGAAAGAAAAGACTGGAACTCTTTTTCCTCTCCCACGGTCTACTGCTACCAAAAGTTATCTTGCCTCCAGACAGACTTTAATCACAAGAACTTGTTTTCAAACTATTGAGAGAAAATAATAGGCTTTTCTTTTCCTTCCGACGCGCAGAGCGGCGCCTGAGACAAGCTGTACCTGGACAAGCTTGTCCTGGGGCAAGACCCTTGCCGGCTGCCCTCGCGGCCAGGCTACCCCGCAGCTGCGCCCCACGCAGTCTGTCTGTCTCCCAACTTGACCGCCACCGTCCCGGGGCTGCGGCGGCGGCGGTGGCTGAGCCCGAGAGCGCACGCAGCCCAGCCCGGAGGCGGCACAGCCCCACTGGCCGCCGGCTGGCCCTGCGTTCGGGGAGACGCTTGGCCGCTTTTCTCCCACGCGGGTGCGAGCCGGAGCGCCTGAACCCGAACCCCGGCCGAAAACAGCCCCGGGTCCCCCGCGCCCAAAGGTCGCGCTCTGCGCCCCCCCCCCCCCAAGCCTCGGCGCCCCTGCACTTGGCTTTGGTCACCACCTAAGATCCCCGCCGAATCGGCGGGCGAGCATCCCTTTCCGCGGTTCCCCAGGCTCTGGAGCCGGAGGGGACCCGAGGCGAGGAGGCTTCGTTCCATCGCTTCCAGGGCTCCCCGCCTGGGTCCGCGCCCCGGCTAGCCCCCCTCGCCGGCCACCAGCTCCCTACCTGTTTGACTGAGCTCGCGCAGGGCCTTGGCCAGTCGCGCCGCCTCTGGGGACGGCTCCTCCGCCGACCCCGCGGTCCCCCACTGGCTCCGCGTCCTGTCCGCGCCATTCCCGGAGGGCTCCAGGCACCGCAGGGTCATGGGAGATGCGTCCACGCGTCCGGGACAGGTGGTCGCCCGAGCTGGGGGGGCCAGAGGACCTCGCGTCCTTTCTTGGAAGTCGCGGGGTATCCCGAAACGAGTCTCTGCGGGGTGTCCGAAATGGTGGCGGAGGGGGAGGGGACTGCAAGCAGCTGGTTCTCCCTCTCCAAATTCCGGCAGGGTGTTGGTGTGGCCAAGTCCCTCGCAGACGCGGTCACCCACGGATCGCCTGTGAAGAGACAATGGGGCAGAGACTGGGTCAGTCTGGACTGGACCCCTAGGGCCGGGGTGGGGGTGGGGAAACAGACACGTGGAAAATCCCAGGGACTCCTCCGCCTGCGTGCTTCTGTGCCACTTAAACCCAAGCATCCAGTTAACGCCCTGCCCAGCTCTAAGGGAAAAAAAAGGGAGCAGAGACCCAAGACGCTAGAGTTGGCCTGAGTGCAGGGGTGAGGTGGGAGACAGAGTGAGGGGTAGACAAGGTGTTTTCCCGCCCAAGAACTGTGCTGGAATCAACACACAGGCAGCCTAGGAAAACAGTCACCTGCGGGTCGGGATAGGCCTTTGTCATGGGCAAGTAGGAAAAAAAAACATAAAAAATGCAAAGAACATGGCAGTTCTCTGCACTTGGCATTTCCATCCAACACTCCGAGCAGCCCCAGGGCCCTTGGGAGGATGCATCCGGCAAAACCTGGTTCCACGCCCTAGAGCGCCGCAGGGCTCCCGGGTCGCCAGCCGAGGGTGCTGCGGTGCGCTCGCTAAGCGGTGCGCCAGCCGCCGCATCCCCGCCGCGGAGGCGACCTCGCCCTGACTCCTGCGGCTTCCCGGAGCAAGCTCCGGGACAAGGACCCGGGGAGCGCAGCGCCGGTCGCTCGGAAACGCGGAACGCTGCTCCCAGCAGCCGCCGCCGCCGCCGCCGCGGGCGCTGTCGAGGAATCGGCCGGAGAGCGGGCAGCCCCCGCCCGAAGCTCCAGAGGAGGCCGGGGCTGAACCCGCAGCAGCAGCAGCAGCGAGCGCGGCGGGACGTGCCATCGACCCGCACCGAGGTCTTACCTCCGCCGCGGCGACGGCTGCCTCCGCACCAGGAAGCCTCCCCAGCGGACATGGGGCGGGCGGGGGAGCCGGGGAGAGGAGGGGGTGCCCGTCTGAGGTTCCCCCGTTGACGTTTATTTCAAGAGCGAGATGCCTGGGGATGGATGCAACCGGCTCCGCGCTCGGTAGAAACAGCCGGACTTGGCTGCGCCAAAGGCAGACAAAAATCCCAGGGATCGTCGCCTTGCTCGCCAGCCACCACCCCCCCCCCCACTCCCTGCGCCTCGCCCCAGGCTGACACCCCTGCTCTCTAGTGCAGAAGGAGATGGAAAGAGAAGGGGTGGGGGGAGCAAGGGCGGAGGCTGGCGGGGAGGAGCGGGAGATCAGGTTATTAGGATTATAAATTTGGATAGCAGTGGTTGGGGAGGAGGGGGGGGAGGCTACGAAGACTTGGCGAGGCCGAGAGGGAACCCGGGAGAGGAGGCACTTGCGTCCGGATGGGGCAGAGCCGCGACTCGAACTCTCCCGGGGAGCCCTCCACTGAGGCAGCCCCGGCAGTCCGCCGCTCCAGCGCTCGCACCCCGCCGCCCTCCCCTCCCCCGGGCGGAGCCTTTGGGGCTTCGCGAGCGGTACCTGCCGCAAGCTTCCGGGCTCGGGGCGCAAGGGATCTGGAGTCCGCTGGCCCGGAGCCCCGGCTCGCACGGTCCGCGACCCGCGCGCAGCGTTGGCGGCGGCGGGAGGGAAGGCTCATGCTTCAAGGGAAAGCCCAGGGCCCGCGAGCCGCGGCGGCGGCGAGACTTGGCAAGAGTTAAACGCCTGTCCCCGGGAGCCGAGGGTGCGCGCGACTTCCCAGCCCCGCGCGCCGCCCTCGCTCCCCGCCTCCCCGCCTCCCGCCCCCCCCGCGCGCCCCGCCCCGCCCCGCCGCTGCGGAGGCCGCTTTCCAGGAACTTTCCAGGAATCCGCCTCACGTGACCGCAGCCCCCGCCAGCGCTTTAAAGAGGCTCGGGCGCTAATGCGCAGGCTTCCAGGGAGCCCGGTGCAGAGCCGAGCCGGTGCCGGTGCGGGTGCGGGTGCCGGTGGCCGCGGTGTGCAAGCCTGCGGCTCCGCCCTCCTCCTCTGACCCTGCACCTCGGGGTGCTCGGGGACAAGTGCGAGAGGTCCCCAGCCATTGCCTTTTAGGCGGCCAGTGCCTGCCCCTATCCGCATCGGCTGAGCACCCTGGTCCCCCGAATAGCAGCAGTAGCCCCTCTTCTCCAGCCCGCCGTGGAGGAGGGGACCTTTTTTTTCCCAGCCACCGCGGGCCTGCCAGTCGCGACCCTCCGCAGTACAGGGTGCATTGATGGGCGGAGCAGGGTGCATGGATGGGGGAGGAGGGGCGCTCAGAAGTCGGTCCCTCCCGCTCTAAGACACACGGAGCCGGGGTAAGCAGGCTACTGCCCAGGTCGACCACCAGTCCCGGGGCGGGGGGCTCAGGAAGCGAACCAGAGGCGGTCACCCTCAGCCAGGATCCTCCAAGGCGGAGACCAGCGCCTCCTTAAAAACCGCATGGACTGCTCTCGATCCCTCCCCCTGGAGCTCGGGCGGTAGTCCCCTGCACCAGCCTTGCCCAGCTCCTCCCTTCCTCCTCTGCTTCACTCCAACGTGTCCTTCCGGGGGGCCCCCGAGAGGCCCACCCGGCCCACCTGCTTGACCTACAGAGCAGATGCCCTTACCTGTGCCCCGGTGGGTTGCGGGGTGACGGGCCTGAGTGCTATCTCCGTGATTCCCTGCAAAAAGCTTAGGGACCCGGAACTCTGATGGATCCCAGCACCTTTTTCCCATTGGGACCCTCACCTTGCACTCTGTACGGAGGCCACCTGGCCTCCCAGCCTCCATTCAGGCACGCCGGGCCCTGAAACGTGACCCACTTTAGATGTGACCTACTTTTTTACAGAAAAACAACAAAAGAAAAATAACACTCATGGGAAACCCGGATTCAAAATTTCGATAGCCATTTTTCTTTGAAATACTACTCTGTTGCATCACTGCTCAAAAGCTTGAAAGGTCAATGGCCACTTTTAGTTGAAGCTGTGGCCGTGGGGAAGTTGGGCAAGGGAGGCCAGGAGTGGGTGGGGGAGGCGCGCTTTCCAAGCCTTGCCTGCTGCCCCGCCTGCCGGCCCTGGGAGGAAACACAACCAACCAGCTTCAAGGCCTTGGACCAATTTTTACCCGCAGTAATTTTTTTTTTCTCTTAAATAATTCTATACACGTGTCAGAACGGTGAGCGAGGGGACATAACGCAGCTTACAGGGGCTTTGTCAGCGATGGATTCGTATGCAAAAGGGGGGTGTTTTCTTGGAAGCTTTGATGGGGAGGGTGGAGCTTAGTGAAGTTGTAGAAAGCCTGTGCAAAGCAGTTGAGTCGCTGAACGGGGTGCTCACCGTCTTTACACCCCTAACCTTTTCTATAAAATGAAAAGCTAGATGCGAAAGGTTAACTCGGATGAACAAATCGGGTCCCCATGGAGCCTCTGGATAGTCGGGGGGGG